GATTGAAATGAAACCAAAACATAAAACCGAGCTTGGTTTGATTCATCTCGGCAAAATCGATTTAAAAACCGAATTGGGGAAAAATCGTTCTAGATTCAAATATCATTAATAAGCCGTTTAGCATAAAATAAAAGATTGTCAAAGCAAAGATAACACAAACCGTGTTACATAAGTCTGAAACAAAAACAATAAAACTTAACGTTTTATGTCTTAAATAAGCCGAAATAACAAGAAAACCTATAAATTCACTTCACTCCATTTCACAGCCACCTCCAACAACAAAACCAATTCTCAATCTCATGTCCACCTGCAACAACAAAGCCAATTGTCATTCTCTTAAAACAAAGCCAATTGTCATTCTCGATCAATGTTTTCATTCCTTCATCCAACATGATAAAACCACAATTCTCACTCTAACTAAAACCAATGTTCTCATTCGTCGATGACAGAACCACAATTCTCAATCACCTAAAACCAAGATTCTCTTTCCTTTATAACATAAGAGGACCAATGTCCTCACTCTTTTAAGACTCCTAAAACAAAATTTCTCAGTCATAGACCATTTACATATAAACAGCGACATACCTGTCCCATTCTCCAAATTCAGGAGTAGAAGTCTGAGTTGGCTGACTAGGACCTGCAAGATCTTGAGACTCAACCACCTCGGTTACTGTCTTCTTCTTCTTGGGTTTACGCCCTTTCTTTCCAACAGGTCTTGGATCTTCCATACCATCAGCCAATTTGGATTTTTTTGGCGGCCTAGGTTTAAATGGTACACCCGAATTAGGACACTTGTAAGCGTTGTGGTCAGCCAAACCGCAGCGGTAACAATGCATATCTCTACCATGGTTTGTGGCCTTTTTTCCCTTTTTTGGTGACTCATTAACACCTTTGATCCGTTTCTGTGGATTTTTTTTCCGACCCTTTTGTACCTCTGTATCTGGTGCCTCAAGCGTTGTTTCTCCACTTGTTCTCCAAAATTTCATCCCATTGACCGGTCCAATAGAATCGATATATTGATCCTGCCACTTAGTAGTCAAATACCAATCAGAAACCAAGTCCTCTTTCTTGTATGTTTTCGGGTTGTCAAACACAACGCGTAACGCGTGACGGCATGGAATCCCTGTCAGATCCCATTTCCTACATCTGCATGTCTTCTCCTTCATATTAACCTTGTGTGATTGACCGTTATCCATAACTTCAAACAGACCAGGGCGTGAAGCGATTGTCCTCAAGTGTTTAACCGCTTTTTCTTCTTCTGCGATCACTAGAGCAACCTTTAGAGAGTGTGTGGCCTTATGCTTCTGCGTCATTTTCCTTCTCATCGCTATCCTCATCATAGTTTGCCTCCTCATGGTTTCCAAACTCTGAATCAATGGCATTGCTCTCGCCTTTTCAAGTGTATTGTTGTAACTCTCTGAGAAGTTATTAAGTGCATCTTCACAGCATGAATCGGTCTTGAAGAAAGCCCGGCTACAGTTTCTTGGATTTCTACTCATGAAGGCCTCATAGATATCACTATCATATTTCTTCAGTTGCGCCAGATTTATTTCATAATCTTCCTCATTGAAACTATCAACCACACGCCAAAACTTGGTCTTCAACTGCGGCTTCCTAGGATGATCCTTCCTTATATTACCATAAATATGTCTTGCACACATACGGTGCTCAATCTCTGGTAATTCTTGGTTCACAGCAAAGAGTAGTCCCTGAAAAAAAGTAAATTTAAAAAATCATAATCACAACATTTCATAACAAAAAAAAAACAAAAACGTAATCACTACTACACATACCTTTTGCCTATCAGAAATGACAGTGAATCCTTCACCATTTCCAAGGCCTAAGTCGTTTTTCAAGTGACGAATGAACCACAACCAACTCTCGCTGTTCTCCACTTGCACAACTGCCCAAGCGAAAGGGTAGATCTGATTGTTTGCATCTCTCCCAACGGCTGCCAAGAGCTGTCCTTTGGAATTGGACTTGAGAAAACAGCCATCTATTCCGAAGATTGGTCGGCAATGGCCTTTCCATGTATCACGCAGCCCAGAAAAACACATGTAAAAACTGTCAAAAACTTCTACCCCAACCGCATTAATCTCAGTTCTAACCTCCACTGTCGAGTGTGGGTTTCTCCTGAGACATTTAGATAAAATGTCACACAAACAAGCAATAAAAAAGAAAAGAAACCAACAATGAATTTAAATACTTACGCTTTAAGTTCATCTCTGTAATCTTTCATCCTTGAATATTGTTCTTTGAATTCTTCTTCAATAAGCTCCAATGCTTTTTTCTTCGCTTTACGGCATTGATTATGTGAAGGAGCCACATCGTAACGGTCATGGATTCTCTGCTGCATAATGACTGGTTTGAGTAGAGGATCATTTCTCAGTTCATGGATGAACATGTCACATATCACTTGTTGTGACAAGATTTTGCATCGACCATCTTTGAAACAGGTATGGTTCTCTTGAAACGTCTTTATCATCCACATAGCAATTGAATCCTCATAAGAACAGTAGACTCTCCAACTGCACTTCTCAATACCACACAATGCCTCAGACTTCACAGCTCCCCACCTATTAAACCGTATATTCCAACCTCCTTTCAATGCGTACTCAATCACAGCTTCTCTAAACTCTTTCACGCTTTCAAACACTTGCTTAATCTTGAGTTCTCCACTTCCTCTTACCCACCTATCATAAGGACACCTCTGGATTTTTCTTCCTTCGTTGTCTGATGTAGTAGGAGTTCGTTGGTAGTCATCATTCTCCTCCTCTTCAAAAAACTTAGCCACTACTTCTTCAACCTGAGCTTCTTCTTCACACATCTCGTATACCTCTCGTCCATCTTCTCTGTCTTGATCTCTTCCATCATCAGTATTATTATCTCTTCCATCTTCATTATTATCATCTCTTCCTCTTTGCTCAACCTGATCAGCGCCTCTTTCCATATTTTGATCGTCATTTCTTCCTTCCTCATTACCGTGATCCCCTTCACAATCTTCATCTTTCTCCATATAAATCTCAATCATCCTAGTCCACTTAGCTGCTTCACACATCCTCTCGAAATTCTCAGTACCCTCACACAATATCCTAAGCTCTTTCAAATCTTCAAATGGTAATTTGTACCAAATTCTTTGTCCATACAAACTAACCGGCAATCCCTGAAACAATGATCTTGGCTGTGTAAGGAGCTCATGCCCAGATCCACCATTGTAAACAAGTGTGTCATCCGACATATTTGTAAACTTCCCACCGTAATAGATGGTGAATGAGACATCATCACTACAACAAATTAAAGAATTCAAAATCGTTAATATATTATAGCTTTCAGACGAATTTTATATTGCAAAGTGTGTAAATAATTCTAAATCAATATTAAATTCAAACCCAGTTTTCTAAAAACCCTAAAAATTCTACATACCTCATTTTTCCAGAAATTGCTTCGCTCAGCACAAATAGTATGCAATCTTCTTCAATTAGTGACAGAAACCGGAGAATCTTATGCAGAGAAGAAACAGATTTCAGTACGAAATCAACCTACTTTGTTTTCTCTCTCGAACTCCAAAACGGCACTCGACAAAGAAGAATGAAGAGCCTATGAAACAAAACGACGCCATTTTAAGTTTTGGTTTCTTTTCAATCCAAACGACGTCGTTTCAATTAATAAAATTGATTTGAGTAAACCGGTATTTAACCGCTGACAAACCGAAATTCAGAGCAGTACCAGAAATTGAATTTCGGGTGGCGTTTAGGGAAAAACGACATCGTTTTGATATCCCGTTCCAACGGGGCAGCTGACGTGGCAAGATGACTCAGCACCGTTAACGAATTCGCGTAGTTGACTAACGGGGTGATGGTCAATGTTGGTTATGGCCAGGCGAGAAAGAGTTGGGGTACGTATCGGATGGTTTATAATAGTTGGGGAATGGATTGGCACACCTTGAAAGTTCGGGCACGGATTGGAACCTCTGAAAATAGTTCAGGCACGAATTGGCCGCTTTCTCGTTGGAACTTGGAACGCCCCAGAGAAGAAATAAGACAGTAGCGATGAATGACATTTTAGTGGGCCTTTCTTAGTTAAAACGTACGTTTATTGAAAAATGACATTTTCATTGTGCTCTATTTCTATTTAAAATGGGCTTGATCAACAAACATGACATGCTAAATAGTGACATTTTCATTATGTTCTTCTATCTCTCCTGTATTTTGAACACAATTATTTGCTTTTTTGGGGATTCTTTTATTTCTTCTCATAACTCCGATTGCAATTCTCTGAAAATTCTAAGAAAAAAATAGTAATTTTTTTAACACATTTATAAAAACGAAATTAACCCGTGCGTATGCACTGGTGGATATACTAGTTCATAACTAACACAAGTCCAAAGTCCGAAAAATCCGAGGTTCATAAGAGCATCTCACTGAGATACTAATTATAATTAATACATTATTATTAAAAATTCAGTAAAAAATCTGAGATTCTGAACATTTATGAAAATCATGTATTATTTATTATAATTATTATTTTCTTGGATATTAGGTTTATTCAATGTAGTTTATATGTTTAGTTGTTTTATTTAAAAGTAGTATATTTTAATAAGTATGGGCAATTCTCACATAATTAATTTGTGCTAAATAAGTATACCTAGTTAATTAAGAGATCATTTGGTAAATGAAATATATTATAATTTAAGACTAAAATTTAAAATATAAGTTTTTAAATTAAATTATATAAAAATCAGTAGAAAAATAAATTATTTTATTGGTTACCAGAAAGAAAATCTCTAAAGCTTCAGTGTTGTTGGGTTGACAGATGGACAAAAAACAAAACCCGTATAATAGCCCAATTGTGCAGATATGAGAAATGGTCCAATAAGGTTGAATAGATGTTTGTATATAGGTAGGTAGAATCCGTCTTATAATATTAAAAAAAAAAATCCAACGCCTGAAACCTAAATCGATCAAACAAAAAAAGTACGATCAAAAACGCATTAGGAGAAAATGTCGCTTAAGATTGAAGATATGGAGAAGTTTATGAAAGGGCAAATGGAGTATTGGCGTCAAGTGGATGAATCCGAGGTAATTTTTGCATATTGTGACAAAATTAAAACTAACCCAGGAATTCTCGTTTCTAGGGTTTACTAATTTTACTGATCGCTTAACTAGGGCTTCGATTTGGAAAGTGTCTCAGTACCACAAGGTACCACTGGCTTGTTACCGTTCGATTGTGAACGTGTTAAGGATCATCAACCGCTTTTGGTCAGGCTTTATGCTAGATTGGGGCTTCATCGATACAACATTTCCAAGGTTAAAAAACTAGTCTATGTCTTGTCTTGTCCATCTCTGGTTCCTTTACCAACGCATCTTTACAAATTTCTGTCTTGATCGATCTTTACAGGGGACTAATTTTGTGTTTCGACACCTGAAGAAGTACAACCAGTCGATGGCTTGCCTGTCCTCTTATTACATAACTTTGGTTGCTTGCGATCCAGCTACCCCCACTTCGCTGGTCACGTTTCAGGTTGGAGTTGGTGAAAAAGCTTATGGCAGATTGTATGTCATGTGCTTTTGTGCTAGGCTTCAAGGTAAATAACAAGCCTTCGTTTTTATGTATTTTAGAATGTTTAATGAAATCTCACTTAATATCGTTGTAAAGGTCCCCCAAAAAAGCCCTTCACAGCTCTTGACGTTGGAGCAGCGGTGGTGGATGGTGGAGGACTGCCTCTTTGGCCGTCAGATTTCAGTGATAGGACTCGATTTCACATTGTAAGATTAGTTATAAGTCACAGTACAGTTTTGCAACTATATAAGCAGTGATCGAGTGATGTATGGTTTATTGCTTATTGCAGCTGGAGGAATCAGAGCTGCAAAACAATGATTGGGTTCGTCTATATCTGGAACTTGCACTTTGCGCAAATGATAGGGGGATTTCGGATGATGTAAGTTTTTGTTTCGGTTGTGGACCATATATACCATGAGCAGGGACACTGTTGTTCGTTGCTATAATAACCATTCTGCTTGAAAACTGTTTGTTTCTTTTTTTCTGTGCAGAGCGTTCTGTCCCAGTTGCATATTCTGAAAGTGGCAATAGGACTTGCTGAATACTGGGCGCAGCGCGTTACCAAACATTCAACATTTGTCTACATAACTTTCAAGGGTTTGGCCAGAGCTCGGGTTGGTGAGCTTGGTGAACATGTTGAACGCAAAGTTATTGTTAGAAGAATCATCGATATGGATAGTGGATGCTTGACTCTCCAAGGTGGTTTTGGCTTTTCCATCGGAGAAGAAGCTCATGAGCAGCGTCCTATGTCTCGCCCGGAAGGTGAATGGCCGTTAACAGGGCCGCCTACTTGGCTTTCCGAGGATGTTCCTCCAATTCAGAAAAGTGATCTTGAGGGAATCCGCTTTCTCGACTGGAGCAAATGAGCTCCGACTTCTAAAAATCGACTTATATCTTAACGACTAAGATCTGAATATCGCATAATTATTAATTATAAACCTAAGTTGTTGTTTTGTGCGTAATTTGGATTTATTTGCAGTTTGTGTGTGTGTCTTTTATTTTCAAGAGTGTGTACTGTTTTGTGAAATACAATATAAGGGAATGAACTTATTTTCAAGTGAGTTTATATGATTTGATTTTTAGTGAGTTTTTTAAGGTGATATTGGGTGAATTGGAGAAATCCTTGTGATTTTGTTAAAGTATTTTAGAATCCCACCTAAAATCATGAGATTTGAATTATCATATTTTAATTAACAATGAAATCCCACAAAATAATTTTTAAATCACCTAAAATTCATACTTTAAAATATTTTTCGATAATACTGAATTTAAAATATATTTTAAAATTACAAGTTCAATAATATTGGATGTTAAAACAATTTTTAAAATTCACATTTGAATAACAAATAATTTGTAATTTTAATTAAAAATCACATTTAATCACTTAAGATACTAAGTTCAATACACTCCCCTAAAATTTTTATGTGTGTGATTTTTTTTTTGGGTGCATTTTATGTGTGTGATTTAAACTGATACTCTCTCTGTTTCAAATTATTTTCGTTTTGGGAAAATGTATCTGCAATTATCTTGATGTATTAAATTTAAAACACATTCAAATACATCCAAATAATTGCATATACATTTTTCCAAAACGACAATTAATTTGAAACAGATGAAGTAGTTAATACCTACATCTCAACACTTTTTCATAAAACAAATAAACCATTCTTCCAATTCCAATATGCACCATTTAAAAGTTTAAGAAAAAGAGATCAACGGTTCTTGTGGTTTTGTTGAATTCACATTTCTATTGTTAACAGTATGATTCAATATCTCTGGAGGCATCTAGAATATTATAAATTATCCAGCAAAATAAAAGCAAAACTTAGGAACATTGGTCTCTTGAGTGATATTAGGTTGTAAATAATAGTTTTATGTCTTTGAAAAAATGGGAGTCACATTCTTGTTCCCATAATTACATTTCAACACTTTTTCACAAAACAAATAAACCATTCTTCTAATGCACCATTTGAAAGTTTAAGAAAAAGAGACACTTAACGGTTCTTGTGCTTGTGATTGTGATTGACTCTTCTATTATGGTTTTGCTGAACTTACATTTCTATTGTTAACGGTATGATTTAATATCTTTGGAGGTGTTTGGAATATTAGAAATTAATATTAGAAATTATTAAGCAAAATAAAAGCAAAACAAAAGCAAAACTTAGGAACATTATTCTTAAATTTTAATCAAAGTAAAAAGGATAGTCCATACAGATATATTTGATTGTTTTTTAACTAAACATTGGTCTCTTGAGTGAGATTAGGTTGTACATATGCTTGATTGTTTTTAATTTTTGGGTATGTACATGGTCTATTGAGTGAATATTTTCTCCATAATTCTGAGCAACCAAAACGATGGGTTTATACTGGTCTTTAGTCCACCCGTTCTAAGCAAGACAAAATACACATAAAAAATAAGATTTGATAAAATCTGAGCACGCACAAGGCCACAATCCCATTAAAAAGTATGTAGTGCTTGTTGAACTATGGCCATAACCCATAACTGTGTTGATTTTAAAAAAGGTAAATCAGAAACTGTAAATTCAAGTGTGGAGTATGAGAAGATATCGCTGTGGTTGTTTTTCAAGTGATAATAAATAAACAAATAAATTGTAAAATTCGAATAAATCCTAAATAGAAGAGTTTGAAATTCTCAAGTTGTTTGTTGTTAACAGAAGTGAGAATATACCCCAGATCAAACAAGAATCGGAATTTACGAATATAAGAGCTGAGCTGTATATATAATTATATATAAATATAAATCTTTTATTTTCTCTCCTTTTTTAGTAAAGAAAGACAGAGTGTGAGAAATTGAAATCTGAGACAGAAAAACAGAGAGCTTGATGACGAAAGTTGGCCAGAGAGATTCTCCGGCTACAGCAGAAGCTTCCACTCCGACGGCGAAGAAACGCTTTTGGACTCCGCTCAAGTAAATCTTCTTTTTTTGTGGGTTTTTGAATTCGAATTATGATGATGACGATAATGATTTCGCGAAAAACGATTTAAGCGTGACAACACATAGAAAATCTAGGATTTTGGGGATTGGCAAGAATTTCGTGAATTGAATCTTTTTAGGGTTGTTGTGTCATGTTTAGGGAAGTAGGTGAAGAACAACAAACTCTGATTTCGTCTATGTTTCCCAATTCGAATCCCGCCCTAGATTTTATGGGTTTTGGTACTAACAACTCCTGACGACTGCTTTTTTATCTGTAGATTCGTTGCAATCTTGTGTGTCATCAACTTGATCAATTACGTGGATCGAGGAGTGATCGCGAGTAATGGTGTTAATGGGAGCGCAAGAGTATGTGATCCCAAAGGGGTTTGCTCAGCAGGAACTGGGATTCAGTAAGATTTTATCTTCTTCTTCTTTCTGATTTCTTATTGATTGATTTGATCAAATTATGAAGAAAGACTGAGACTTTTGTTCTGTTTTTGTGTGTTGATGCAGAGGAGAGTTTAACTTGAGTAACTTTCAAGATGGTCTTTTGTCATCTGCGTTTATGGTTGGACTTCTTGTTGCTTCTCCAATCTTCGCTGGATTGTCAAAAAGGTTTAAACTTTTGTAAAAACAGAATCTTGAAATATTTTCTATGTTCTTGTTTATGGTAAAATACTTAAAAAGTCGTTGCTTTTGCAGATTCAATCCTTTTAAACTAATCGGTGTGGGATTAACTGTTTGGACTCTCGCTGCTATTGGTTGCGGCTTCTCTTACAACTTCTGGATGATTGCTGTTTTTCGAATGTGAGTCTTCTACATTTCTTACTTCCTCTGTTTTGGCCTGTTGCAATTCGTTTCTCTGTATAGTTTGGTAACATCTTTTCTATTTGTAATTTGCATATTAGGTTTGTTGGAGTTGGTGAGGCTTCCTTCATTAGTCTTGCCGCACCTTACATCGACGATAGCGCTCCTGCTGCACGGGTTAGTCTCTCGGTCCGGTTAAGGTTTTGCGGCATGTCTACTCATTAAAGACTAATTTGATTTTATCTTTCTTTACAGAAAAATCTCTGGCTTGGATGGTTCTACATGTGTATACCAGCAGGAGTTGCTCTAGGCTACGTCTTTGGTGGATATGTAAGTATTATAATGCTCTTGACGCTTTTGGTGATTATAAAGTGTTTTTGCAACTGAGGATTTGATTTGCTTTCCATGTTATCAGGTTGGAGAACATTTGGGATGGCGTTGGGCGTTTTACATAGAGGCAGTCTTAATGGCTTTCTTTGTTGTTTTATGCTTCTGTATCAAACCACCGAAGCTAAAAGGTACTGAAGCTGTGTAGTCTCCATTGTATAATCTGAAATCTCTAGTCTCTTCTTGAATATGTGCCATAAAGTGTTTGTTACTGTATTCTTTGTTGCGTCATAGGTTTTGCTGATAAAGATTCGAAGAAGCCCTCTGCTTCTATTGAAACAGTCGCTCTTGCAAGCGCAGAAGCTTCACAGATCAAAACCGAAACCCCCAAGTGAGTTTTCTATATCTTCTCTTCGTTGTTCTTGTCTATGCAAAGGTTTATATACTAAGACTCTCTTCTCTTTTCGTTTTTGGGGCAGATCCAAGAGTAAGAAGAATCTGTTTGTCCTATTTGGGAGAGACTTGAAGTCTCTTTTCAGCGAGAAAGTGTTTATAGTGAATGTTCTTGGTTACATCACATACAACTTTGTGATCGGAGCTTACTCGTACTGGGGGCCTAAAGCTGGTTATGGCATCTACAAGATGAAGAACGCAGACATGGTTTTTGGAGGGCTTACAATCGTATGTGGGATCATTGGAACATTAGGAGGAAGCTACGTGCTTGATCGCATCAACGCTACACTTCCCAACACCTTCAAGTTACTAGCTGCGTCGACTTTGTTCGGCGCAGCCTTGTGTTTCGCTGCTTTCTGCATGAAGAATATGTATGCCTTCATCGCTATATTCGCACTCGGAGAGATTCTAATCTTTGCACCACAGGTAATATAATATATACAATCAAAATCTTTAAAGAGTTTTCTGTTTTTTTGTTTTGATCCTGAAAAGGTTTGCTTCTTTGTTGTTTTTCGTTTTTGCAGGCACCTGTGAACTTTGTGTGTCTGCATTGTGTTAGACCAAACTTGAGACCATTGTCGATGGCGTCTTCAACTGTTTTGATCCATGTCTTAGGAGATGTTCCTTCTTCTCCACTTTATGGACAAATGCAGGTTTGTAGTTTTTCTTTCTTTTGACAAATATTTTTACTAAATTTTTGTCTTTTTAGAATTTGATTTATGAACTCTCTCGATGTTTTGATTGCAGGATCGTCTAAAAAACTGGAGAACATCAACTCTTATAATTACTTCAATCCTCTTCCTCGCAGCTATTATATGGGGCATTGGTAAGTGTGACTCAAAATTCAATTTCTTTATTCACCTCATAAACTCTTTATTTCTCTGTGTGTTTATAATTAATTTTGTTTGTTTGTTTTGTAGGGATATTTATGGATAGTGTGGACCGGTCTAATGAAGAAGAAATTGAAGATGATGATGAAGTCAAAGAAGAGAAATTGGAAAGCAAAGCAGACAACAACTCTTCTGTCGTCTAAATTTTGGAAGACATTTTTATCATTTTTCTCTTCTAGGACCAATTTTTTTTTATAGATTTATTTGTTCTACGTTGTTCAGTTGAACAGAGCAATTCATTTGATTCCATTTCTTCTCCTTTTATCCTCAGCTCCTTTTTCTGTATATAAACTAATTTTTTGAAATAAAATCTTTGTTTTCTCTTTGACCAAAACAAAATCTTGGTTTTGCTAATATATGGGGGATATAATACGATCAAATAACAAAAAGCTTGAGAGAAGAAGACTGCGACTATTTAGAAAAAGAAATAGGTTGATTCAATTGTGGCAGTGCTTCGATGAAGATAGAGCATGGAAACTTCTTTGCGGTAGAGACATTCAAGAAAGAAAAGAAAAAGAATAGTTCTCATTTCAATTGGGAAAAAAATGTAACAGATAAATAAATTAGCCGCCAAACAAATGGGTTATTTTGACATTCGTCTACGAAACATTGTTCGTATTATTTGAAACTACCAATTTGGCTGAACTTCTCATTCAAATATTGGGGGCTTTTAGAAATAAAAATAAAAAGGTTGGTTCATGATCTTCATCTCATCACTTAGAGGTTGGACCAGCAGCAAGAATCTCTTCAGTCAATTTTCCATCCTCTCCAATCTTATGACTTGTGAATGTCTCAAAATTGCTTCTAAACAAACCAGCCAGTTTCAACAATGTGTCCTTGTAAGCCTCTTTGTTTTCCCACTGCACCACCAATACACACATCAACATAAATGTCAATTCTGATTCATAAAAATAATGGTTTTTAAAAATAAAAAAATGTTTATCTCTAACTTACAGCATTGATAGGTTCCAGAATCTCAGAAGGCACTCCTTCAACTTCATTTGGAATCTCCAAACCAAAAATCTCTGTTTTGTGATAAGTTGCATTCAAGAGACTACCCGAATGTATAGCATCAATAATCTTTCTCGTATAAGCCAACTTGATTCGACTTCCAGAACCATAGCTGCAAAAAAAGCATCAACATCTTGGAAGTTTAATAATTTTTTGTTTGTTTGTATGGTTATAATTTGAGATTTTGAAGTAGAGATGGATGGTTTTTACCTTCCACCGGACCAGCCGGTGTTAACAAGCCAACCGGTGGCTCCTTGAGCCTGCATTTTCTCGGCTAACATAGCTGCGTATTTGGTTGGGTGAAGCATAATGAAAGCAGCACCAAAACAAGCCGAGAACGTTGCTCGAGGCTCCTTAACTCCTTCCTCTGTTCCTGCAACCTACAAAACCACATACATATTTTGATAAATATGACATTCATTGGACGTACAAAAAAGTATGATATTCATTGAAAATGATAATTATTTTAGTTATATATAAACACAAGTCATCATAGTTATGATTGGACGACGATTATGATTGATAGAAGAAGACTTACCAAAGCAGTGTAGCCACTGATGAAGTGATACATAGTCTGAGCCAAGTTGAGCTTGCTGATTGGCGGCAACACACCAAACGCGTCACAAGCCAATAAGATCACGTTCTTCGGGTGTGGCCCCACACACGGTATCTTCGAGTTTGGAATATATTCTATCGGATAAGCCGCGCGTGTGTTCTCCGTCACCGACTTGTCTGTATAATCCACTTCTCTTGTATGCTCATCAAACACCACATTCTCCAACACTGTCCCCAAAAACCATAACAAACATTTACCAAAACAAAAAGAACATTCTCTTGTATGCTCTCTTTTTATTTTTAAGTTGCAAAAAAGAAAAGTTCCGAATTACCAGTTCCGAATTTGATAGCGTTCCAAATATCAGGCTCTTTCTCTCTCGCCAAATCAATGCACTTAGCGTAACAACCACCTTCGATATTCGATACTCCAGCGTCACTCCAACAATGTTCATCATCTCCGATCAAATACCGATTATGATCGGTCGACAACGTGGTCTTCCCGGTTCCAGAGAGTCCGAAAAAGAGAGCAACGTCTCCATCTTTCCCCATGTTACAACCGGAGTGAAGAGATAGAATCTTTCTCTTAGGCATCAAATAATGCATGACACCGAAAAGCCCTTTCTTCATTTCTCCAGCGTACTGTGTCCCTAGGATCACCATCTCTCTTCTTCCTAGGTTTATGTCTACACTCGTCGACGACGTCATGTAATGAGTGAAACGGTTGCATGGGAATTTTCCGGCGTTGTAGATGGTGAAATCTGGTGTCCCGAAATTCTCTAGCTCCTCAGCTGTTGGACGGATACACATGTTGTGCATGAAGAGTGAATGGTAAGCTCTTGCTGATACGATTCTCACTTTGATTCTGTTCTCTGGGTCCCAGTTTAGGTATTGATCATTCACAAACACCTGACAAAAAAATATAAATATAATAATCCATTAGTGTGTGTATTTTATACTTTACCTTATAGTTTACATAATTTCGACTATAGTCTCTATTAAAATTTTACCTTCTCCAAAGAGTTCAAGTAATCAACAGCTCTTTCTCGGTTCACCAAAAAGGTTTGTTCATCCATTTCGATGTTTGGTGATCCTCTGTATTAAAATAGAAAAAAGTGTCAGATAATGTATTACTATAAGGATAATTTAACATTAAAGGTTTGTTCATATATAATTTGGTGATCTTCATTTAATTTGTTGATATATGTAAATGTAGAGAGAAAGGGGGACTCACTTTCCCCACCAGAGCTCAGCCGCAGTGGTCTCATCTTTAACCACACGCTTGTCTTTAGGAGACCGACCGGTTTTGGCTCCCGACAAAGTAGCCAAAGCACCGGTCGATGTCACAAACGATCCTTTCTCGTACTTTATCGCCTGCTCGTACAATTCTGCAATTACAAACAAAAAAATAGTCGAGATGTGATGTAATGTAATAAACCTCAAATCGGGTTGGTTAATAAAACGGTGGCGTTTATGAAGGTTTTACCGGCGGGAGAGAGGTTGTGAAGGACGTGAGTGAACTTCAAGGCGCTGTCACTGACGTCAGCAGCCGAGGCTGCCGGAGGAGTGTGTGGCACGTGCGCAACTTTCGCCGCCGACGTCGGATCTCCTCTGATTAACTTCGGTCCTGTCTCTCTCGTCAACGAAGCCAACGATGCACTGTCGATTTATCACCAAAATATACAATATTAATTCATTACCATTATTTTCTCAAAATTCATATAATAATTATCGCGACTTCGTTATACAACCTAAATCTCATTAGATAGATTGATAACATGCAAATATTTTGCGATAGATCTATCCTTGCATGTCAAATTAACTAAATGTACAAACCTGACGGATTGAAGCATGGTCTCGCCGGAGACCGGAGTGCTCGGGTTACTGGCTTCTTTAGGAGGAGTGGTCGGAGCAGATCGTTTGATCTGGCGACTGTGAAGCTCGTCGATTGTCTGAAAGTTGACCCGCGATGCTGTGTCGTCGTGGCACACGTCAGCTGACGTCGGAGATTTGCCGCCCTTCTCCGTCGTGATCCTCGGAAGCGCGTCACGTGCCGCCGAAGCCGAGAAACTGAATTCTCCATTGCCATTTTCGTTTCCGTTTCCCGCCATTTTCACTAAGTTGGGATTAAGATCAATATACACAATTAACCACACACAAACAAATATATATACACGTATATGAACTTAAAGAGACGTATAGAGAAAATGTTAGTACCGGAATGTCTTCTCTTCTTTTTCTTTTTCTTTTTTTTTCTGTATAGAAGAATAAGAAAGAATATATAAATACGAAAAAGAAAATGTGTCTGAAGGAGAGATCAATGGATGATGATGGAAAAGAGGAAGAAGAAGGCGCTTTTATAGGCTTCCTTTGACTCGGTTTCTTTAGATTGATTGATCACAAAACGCGTCCTAATTATTCTTGCCTGATCGTGATTTATCTTTTAACTAAATGATGATTATCACGTTACTACATATATGGCAATGTATGTAGAATTCTTGATAATACCACTATCTAAATTGATTTAGAATTGTTGATTATAGAATTGTTAGTCTACTAGTATGATAAGATGACTAGACGCCACGTTGATTTTTGACACGTTTACAAATTTCATTAGCATACTTAAGTAATATTGGGTAGTTGCGCGCATGGGTGGACGATCAAATTGCATAAATAATACACATAATCTCGTTGTCCCGATGAACGCGAGTGTATTCATGTCTTCACGTTCGTAATTAAGAAACAGTTTTGATAACATTCAACTAAAATGCATTCCAGTAATGGTTTCAAAATATGTGTGTATTAAATTTTAAAATACGTTTGCAGTAGTAGACTATATGTCGTTTTCCAAAATCTTACCCGTACGTACAGAGAGTACAAACATAATTTTAAAGCACGATATATTATTTTCCTTCTTCTATTTATTTCCGTTATTTGACTTAGATTATATACTGTTCTGATTCAAGATTTTACGGCACATTGACATGTTGTAATAGAAAATTAGATTTTGTAATATATATATGACAATTCTGCCTAATACGTGTATATATATACATTATTTGTCATGCGTATATTGTTTGTTTATTATTCCTTCGATCAGCCATCTTGTTCATGAGAGGGAAACTGGATTAAAGACTATCAAATCAAAATTGAACAGCATTATTTTAAGTTCTTTATAATCAAATTTGTTTTTTGGTCATCAAATAAATGAATTATTAAGTTAAGGTTATTACTTTCTTAGATGGACATGAACACTGGTTAATTTTTTTAATTTAAATGGATTGACTTCATTCTTTAGAGCGCAAGTCATAAAATAAAAACAAAAACAATTGCAGAAATAATATCCTTGAATTATTTAAACTTGTAAAGACAATCCAACGTGGGTTATAGTAAACCAAAGTTTACTTCAAATTCGATAAATTTAATTAGCACTAACCTTTCTCAAAGCCAAGTGTCAGTATCCTGATCTGGACCGTTGATTTCAAGGGACGGCGATTGGAGGTCACTCTTTGACAGCTTTTCGCAGATCAGTACCACGTCAGCTGGCTTATCTCTTCGCCGCATTTCGATGAAGGTAATAACACCTGGACCTTCTGTGAGTTGACTAAGCTTTTTAGAAATGAATAATTCCCATTAATTTAAATCACCAATGTTAGGTTTTACATTCAGGGAAATATTTTTCTTTTATAACAGGGAGAGAATTCGGTGATTAATAAATACACTTTTTTGCGTCCTCTAATAGATACATTTTTCATTTTATAATACTGAGTTTTTACAAAATATAAAAATACCAGATTAAGACCCGCGTATACGCGGGTTTATTTTAAGATTTTGTAATAAAATCATGGAAAAGTATTAAACCAAATTTGATCATTTTAAAGTAAACAGAATAATATTAAAAACCCGATAAAAATATTTAAATAAAATAAGATCGGTAACCTTTTTACGTTTTTATTGTAATTGATATTTTTTTTGAATTCATGATATGAAAAATGAATTAATTTGTTTTATTTTTATTTTTATCCAATATAGAAAGACTTATATATGTCTAAATATGATCAACTGATTAATTAATTCAACAAAACTTTATTATTCCATTCAAGAGATTTCAATTGATGAAATCTTTATTTAATAATTTTTTACCTAACAATATTGAAAATTAAACTATTTAAAATTAGAATATCGGTTCATTATATTTTCTTAATATTAGTTAGTTGCTTGATAATTAATTTGTTAGTTTTCTATTTATATTGTTTCTTTCTCAATTTTGTTTTTGACTCAGACCATTATAAATTTTCATTTTCATTATTAGTTAGTTTTTTTTCTAGTTTTTATATCTGTTTAACATTTTTCCAATTAACATGTCTTCACCGGATCAAATACATGTAACGACAATAATTTTGATTTCTATCCAACTAATATAGAGTTAAATATTATTCATTGATACCATGAATTTTAAATACATGATTTTTTATGAGAGAAAAGATTATACAAAAGATAGAAGCACATAATTGAATCGCAATAGCTTATTATATATTTTTTTTTCCTGTTCATAATGGGAATATAAACACATATCGCAATTTTGTGAGTTATAAAAATCATGCGTATTGCTATCATGTTGTTTGCTTTGATGAGTTTGTGAATGAGAAAAAAAGACTACTTTAACTCTCTTTTTATAGGGGTTCATGTAACTTATTCCATGCAGTTATAGGAAATTTAGTTTACCTAACCTATTTCATGTACTAATAGGATTTTATTTATTTCATTAATTTGAATCTTATATGTGTTTGGATAATATAAATTTGATGAATGGAGAAACCTTTTTCTATTAGGATATGACAAATATAATTTTTTTTCTTTTAACTATAAAAGATTAAAATTTCGTTTTTTTTCCTTTATCTATTTTTTTAATTATTATTTTTTTCCTTTTTTTCTAAGACACATGTCACGATCTTAACGGACATAACATTAAAAGTGACACATGTCGCAATCCTAAATTTTATAAAAATCCTACGTGTCGCAACCACGTCCAGCTTTATATAATAAGATTTTTATAATCACTTAGCAGAAGGGCAAACGAAAATAAAAAAGGTTTACAAAAGGCTTACCTTACTTAATCCGCAGCCTTAACTTACATGATTTAGGCCTAATTTAGCATCTTGTTTGTGGGTCTTTATGTCTAACGCCGGTAAGGAGATATTTGATAGCTGGATACATCGGCCCACGCATTGTCCAGCATACAACGTAAAAGGCTTTATTTTCTGAAAAGCCATGTATTAGAGTGTCTCTGCTCCTATTTTCATCTCAACGGGGCTTACAAATTCAGCTGAAAGGTTTACCAATTCTGTCGTTTTGAATCAATTTCCCCCACGATCGAGTACCCTACTCAATTCAAATCAGCCCATCAGGTTGATCTTGTTTCTAGAAGTTTATGTGAGTTATTAATTTACATCAATATTCACTTGTGGTGATGGTAAATCTAATTAGGAGAACGCTTTCGACATCAATTAGACGCAACGAATCCAATTTCTAAGATTTGGATACGGCCATTAAGAAACACTATTTGTTCAAACATTAAACCGTACCTATCCCTAACTACTACTCAAACACAGCAATTTTTTCTCTTTTCTAACTCGAAATTAACATTATCATATGCTGTATGTATCTGGTATGAAGGATATTCGTATTTAAGTGTAATTTGACAATTAGTTCAAGATTCTTCGGCCACTTACCATTTGGAATCACGTCGAGAACTGGACCTTTGACATTAGTTCATCATTTATTCCATTTAATAACACACAAATCATTGCAAGCTGTTTTAAAAAGAAACCTTCGCAACCTGCCAATAGATTTATATTGCTTTGTCATATTATATCTATGGAGTAGCTAATAGCATAATTAAGTTAATAATAACATTCTGCTAGTCCTTAAAGTTGACTAGATTTCGAATACATTTGCTATCGCTAAGAAACAAATACGTAATTCATTCGAGACATATATTCTCAATCAAAACTTTCATTCTCTTGTGAGAAACATCATGATTTTCTTTCTTTCTTTTCACTATACCTTATTTTTCTTTTCTAGGTTTTCTAAGTATGTAGTCCAAATTGCTGGCTTATACTCCAAACAAAAATCATAATAAAAAACTTTTCACGTATCTTCTTCTTGAAGTCTTTAAACTGCTTGAGACTCCACATACGAGCTCAATCAACGATTTTTCCATAACAATATTTAATCAGTTTTTTGGGCCTTTCGTAATAATATTTTCATTTATTCCTTGGTTTGTAACAACTTTCGTATTTTACAATATACATTGTTATAAAACCACCTAGAATACTTGTCTGGGTATCTTTCAAAGTTTTCTATAACAAATAGGCCCTAATAATGACCACATGACTAATCATGATCATTCATATGAAAAGATATAAAGTATACTAAATCCATTAGATTTAAACGGCACGATAATATATTTTAAGTAGAAATGTACTTTTGATTTTGAAGTCCAGCGTTGCAAGCACACTCTCTGATAATCCACTACACCTCCCTTTTGATTTTATATAGTACTACTGGTAGTAGAAACTAGAAAGCATACTTCATTTATTTTATCTACACTTTTATGTCATTAATTTGGATTTTCTGAAAATTACAAAAAGAAAGAAGATAAAAGCAAAAAGACCAATTAATTTTCACGTAGGGTTCCAATCTCTGGCATTACAAAAGGCCACACCCGTCGCCTACTGCTTGTCGCTATCATGCACGTAGGTCCCTTTCTCAAAATCATACTTCTATAATTTTACACTATTTAATATCTTACTAAATTATTGGTTATACTTATATTTTTTTATATACCATATTTTCAAAAATCATTGACATGAACCCAAAAAAAAAAAAAAAAAAACTTAAAATCTGGCGTTTTCCAAGCCGTGCATGTCGCTGACTCGATTTAAATGCTTCCTCATGATAGCCACTTTCGCCAATTTCTCAGCGGCTCTCCAAGCCGATGTCGGCGTAAGCTGCTCCGTTTTCTCTTCACCTCGGTTTACTAAACCGTTTCTTGGTTTAAACCGGCTCAGCTCAGCTAACTCAGCCTCCAAGCATCTTAAGCTATCATCCCCATGCGACGCATTGGATCGAGCCGCCGTTAAAAGCTGATAGGCTCCGGCTAAATCCTCACGCTCCATCAGCTTGCGTGAATCAGCTACAGCGCGACTAACCGAGTGAAGATTCCTCAGCCGTTCGATGCTCGGAGATACGAACCGGACGTTCTGTGGCCGCGGAATCAAAAACCGTTTCTCTTTAGGACACGTCATCGGCTGATGCGTTGTGGAGTCAACGATCGAAGACCGTACGGACATTACATGGTGGGACCCGCTTGAAGAGGTCGGTACCTTGAGCTCAACGAGAAATTCTCTCTCCTCCTCCGCGAACAGATCGCCGACTACAACGACCGAACCGGATCCGAAACTCTCGGGTCGACCAGTTAATGAATAAACCGCTGAGATCTCGGTCAACGGAGACCCGTTAACCAAACCGAGATTGAGCTTGACGTCACGGAGAGCCACGTGGAGCAACGCAGCGATTCGCTCGGTGAAGGCGTCACGGAGCGGCGCATAATGCAAAGCGCTCGGAGAAGCGATATAAACGGAGTGAACCGGGATCTCCGGACGAGAGAAGCGCGTGGTCGACACGACGAACGGGACACGCGTGGAGTTTAGTTTAGCTTTCAAAATGACCTCCGGTTGATCCTGACCGTCCGATAAAACCAAAATGCTAGCCGTCGGATTCCTCTCTCGCCGATCTTCAACGACCTTAACCGCTTTCTTCAATGCGTCGTTAACGGTCATCCCGATGCTGCCGGTTGTTTCAACTCCGACGAGTGCGTCTACGATTTGCCTCGCCGATCGCCGTCCTTTAGCAGTCATCCGTCGTAACGGCATTAATCGTTTCGATCCCGTCGAGAACACGACGATTGAGAGCCGATCCATCTCTCGGAGCAGAGAGATGACCAATCTCAACGCCTGCTTAACCGTTTGTAAATTCGCTCCGCCGCTGCTTAAATCGAGAACCGTCACCAGATCTATCGACGGCCTGCGCGCTTTAATGGCGTCCGTGATCGACGACGCCTTCAATTTCATCACGACGACGTGCGTCTCGAACCTTTTCCCTGTTTCCACAACGGCGGATTCCGGCTGCAATTTAACCTCCAGGTTCCCGGAGATTGACGGAATCGGATCAGCTAAAGCAGAGGCAATCGAAGACTGTGCGGAGAAGAAGCCGGGGAATTCGTCGTCTTCCTCTGCGTCGTCGTTTTCGTCGGATTCCGGTATAGTGTTGAACTGAGCTAGAGAAACCGGCGAATAAGCTAACGGCTCGTCGTCATTGTAGACTCTCAGCGATTTCCCGGTTTTTATTTCTCGGATCTCCGGTCGTCTATTCGGGTCGGATCCGAAATTGGCAGACGATGAATTCGGCGGGTGAATCCAAGCGGCGGAACAGAACGGACAACGCTTGTCTTCTAATCTAACGGCGCAGGAGAGGTGAAACGAATGTGAACACTCCGCCGTGAAAATCGCCGGCGAATTGCTTTGACCGGAGTTCACTCTCTGCAGACAAATCCCACATCTGTTACTATTGCTCTGCATCCCAAAAAACAGAGATTAGATTCTTTTAACCGATTTATAAACTGATTTGATCGGAATCAATGTTTACCTTGTTGAGAAGAAGTGTGGCACGGAGGAGAGAGACGCCACCGTGTGAAGAAGGAGAAAATGATTTAGGAGAAGAAGGGTTAGAGAGAAACTTAGGACTTGAGGTGTTGCTGGTTCTTGGAGTAGCATTGCTCGTGGTTCTGCAATGGAGTTTGGGGCTAGTGGGAAGAGATGGGATATTGACTGCGGTGGAAGCGGCGGAGCGGCATCCGCCGTCACGAGATCGGAGACGGGGAGTTGATGGGTTTGATAAAAACCCAAACTTTAATCGGAATCTTGGGGTAGGGACTAAATGATCAGTGCTATTGTTATGAGTGTGTGATGATGATTTTTGAGGTTTGTCTTGATTACTTGAAACAGAAGTGCAAAAGGCTTTTCTCCAACCAAACACCATTTCCAGTTGAAGAAATTATGGAAAGAAAAAAAAGGTTTCTTCTTTAAGACTCTTTAGCTCTTTTCTTTCTTCTTTTTCTGGAAGTAGTTTATAGAGAAGATGAAGGACTTTGGGCATGGATCATAAGGAAGATGGAGAAATTAAATAAGATAAAGACTAGAGAGAGAGAGAAAGAGAGAGATTTCATCATTCTTTGGTGATGCTTCGGAGCTTTTAATGTATTTTAATTCTGGCAATATTATATGGTAAAAATTGTGACTTTATGCGTCTGAAATGGCTTTTGTTTCCATTTGCATGTAAATCTTTCTTATTTTGCCTCGAAGAAAATCATTACTGAAACACTGATTCGTTACGTCCCCTTCGTTTTTTTAATTAGGTCAAATTAACTTTTTTCAACTTTCATCTTTGGTCGTGATATAATTTTAAAAAGTTTTCATTGGGATGCGCGACTAAATAAAAAGTCAACGATGTAACCGACCATATATGCATACGAGATTTCATTAACTAAAGATGCGGAGATCTTTATTTCCATTTGCAAGTAAATCTCTCTTTCCACAATATTTAACATATTCTAATGCATTAGAGTTACTTCTTCTTTAAGATCAGATTAAAGACTTATTTTGATGGAACTCTTTTTATAACCAAATTGAAGCTTAACTTTGATGAATTTGGATTCCCTGTTCAGTTTTCGAATGCATATCAATGTATATGACAAACCGAAGTTTCTCGACTCGTTGGTTGGACTGTTCGAAATGCAAATTCTGATATTTGGATTGGCCAAAAGAAAATGAAAATAAAAGATCGGTCAAACGAAATCCATGTGGCACGTGACGTTAGAATACGAGCAACAGATGGTAAGCCTATATTTATTTTATTTGTTGAAATGAAAATGAAAATAACAGACAAGAATTTAATGCAGCGTCGTATTCGATCGTAGAGGACCAGAGATAGTAGTAGACTCAGAGCATCCGCATTGGTCATTCTCATATACAAGCTCTTTAACTTTTTTTTATTAATTAAAAAATGATTTTCGAGGAGAGAGAAACAATTTTTTTAAAAAGAAAAGGAAAAAAGAAAATCAATCTAATCAGGTGATGACACATGGCAGAACCCATCCCAGAACCACCTCCAAAACTGCTTCCTGCAGAGTCGATTCTTTAATTTTTTCATGCCACATCAATATTCTTTAATTTTTTTCTTTTCTTTTAAATTGTAGAGCCCCATTAGGGATGACCAATGCAGATGCTCTCATGTATTTATTTGTCTGAGTGTACCTTCTGTCAAGTCAAGTATCTTTCACTTTACTTCTACAGTTTTACTTCCATTTAAGTTGATTTTACTTTATAAGTCAAATTAAGATATAGTTATAAAGATAATCTTAATACTTATCATTCTTTTGGATAATCTTGTAGTTATATGCTGACTGTTACGAATTTGACTAAAGTTTTAGGTTTGGGACTACCATGAAAAGTTTAGACCTATGTTTGATGGAGAAAGGTCGAAGTGCATTTTTTCTCTCTTTTTTTTTTTTTACGAAGAAAATAATTGAAACTTGTCCACATTTCGAGTAATCCAAATAAGATAATTACATAAGGTGACGACAAGAGCTAATGATATGACATAAAGATTAGACTGGTCCATCAAATTTGAATTCTTGCTATGGCAAAATGGTGATTTTTCTTTGATTTTGATAGTTCTATTATTATTATTTTTAAAAATCTTAAACATTTGATTTCTTGATGAAGAAAAGAAAACCATTGTTTAATTTTTGTATCTTAGTATAATGATTTAACTAGTATGATGATATATCTATTTGATATACTTGCTCAAAAAAAGTTACTATGTGTCTTGTTAATTTGCCCAATATTGCTGCTCGAAGCATTCAATGACAAGAAGATAAAATCTCCTCAAAGATTTGCAAATGTGTTAAATACCTCCAAATTGAACTTGTAGCCAACCATTTTCAATTTATCTGGTAGGTTTTAAGCGGATACCATTGTTGACAGCACATGACGACTTCGTGCGTGCATGGCATTGCCATAGAAACATTGATTATTCACTAAAAATTAAAATCTGTAGTCTGTTGATTTAATATTTGTAAGAACTAGTATACAGATTAATTCGAAAACTGTGTATGAGATCTTATAATGTCCTACACAATCAGTCAATCACAAATGCATTCTTGGTCTGTCCGGACAAAATTTCTAATCAAACATTTTATTTTATTTTAAAGGTAAAAAAAATCAAACAATTATAATAAGGCCGATCCGAATTTGTCCATATATAAATAGATGATGACCAGGGCGGATCTAGAGAATAATTTTATGGGGGGGGCAGAAGTACTTTTTACCTCTATAAAAATAAAGTGTCAAGAGGGGCATAATAAAAATCCTTAGCAAATTTGCACTAATTATGTAATTTCATAGGGGGCAGCTGCCCACTCTGCTTTCAAGCTGGATTCGCCCCTGATGATGACCTCCCATGATTGATAACTGATAAGAAATCTATGGATACCATCAATTTGGTGGGTTGTTGAAGGTCTACCAAACCGAAACACACATTCATTCTGACAATCTATCAATCTTTTGTCATATGGTTTTAACGCGTTAAGCGATCGTTTCTTTGGGCGGTAAAACCATAGTTTTGTCTACTTTTGATAGCATCTTATAGAACTCGGCTGTAGCTGTCAGCTGTGTGTACAAATGATTCATTTGAGCTGCTCGTTTTAAAACTTTATTAGGCTATAAAAGTTTCTCATATTTCAAACAATTTGCTTATATCTTACCATTTTGTGAATCGTTTTTTGTAACTGATTTCCAAAACGATGAAGGTGAGAGTTTCGGGAACCAACGATAGATATGTGTTAAAGGTGATGCCACGTTCCATTGTTGAGAAGAATTCTTATCTTTTGGAGACAATTTGACATGTCATTCCCTAAGTCTATTTCATAATTAATTTTGGGAGTACTGAATAAGTGAACATAGCTATATATCAACATATATTCAGTATATAGTCTGTCCAATTCGCAATAAGTGCGTCAAAGGGAAATCGACCTAAATGAGATTCACGACCAATGATTGTTGTCTGTTGATTACTTGTTTATGTGCATACTATGGAGTTCACGTGAAGCTACAAGAATCACACAAATATCCATTAATGTTTGGACTAAAGTAACAAGACTGATTTAAATTCAACACATAGATTCTTTTGAGTTATGAGTATTTAATTATCTCGAATTTCCTTAATTAATGTCTCTAAGAAAAATGGGTACTTGAAAATAACCTTTCATTTGGGTGGGGTTTAGTGTAATGGATAATAGAAATTACAAAAAAAATTGTCAACGCTATCGAAAATTATTAAAATGAGCAATGAATGTATGGAAATAATTGTTAGAAAACAATAATTGATAAGCCAAACCACCATTGCCAAAGCCAAAAACGCAATATGTCCGCATCCGTAGGAACAAAAAATAATTAAGAGAAGGATGAGAGAATATTGTATATACTATTCTTTTACAAGAAAAAAAAACAAATATTGTATACACTAGTCAATCACAGCAATCTATGTTCATGAATCATGTATAGTTGCTTATTTTGTCTCTGTAACGACTAACGATACAACTCAGTACTGTTATAATGTAGCTTTGAACTGAATTTAAAATAGATCGGTTGAAATATATGTTCATAAACTTAAAATCACGATATAAAAGCCCTTTTCCCTCCGAAATCATTTTTTTCTATCTCGTAGCTATTGGTTCTTCGAGGTGGATTACTTTTAGATTGTAAAATTGATTGTTTTGCAAATGCATGAGCAAAAACAAAATTTAGGTTTAATTTGCATTTTAAACAAACTTTGAATTGATGAAAAACAAGCCAATTTGCATGACACATCGACAAACGACCGAAACAGAGCAAAGTTTGTCTATAAATCGACTTGTTGTTTTATACATATGCGTATATAAAATAAATTTCCGTTTTACTACTTTTGATATCAAAGTTACTATTTTAGACTGTACCCAAATTTGTTTATTAAGTATTTAAGTTAAACAAGTTACAGATGGTTTTATTTAGATTTAGCTTTAACAAAACTGAGGGAAAAAAAAACAAAACCAAACGGTAGACTGTGATGTTCAGCAATAGACTGTCTAGGATAGACATTAACAACAAAGGGAAGAAGGCAAGGAAGAGAAATATAACATTACATGAAATATCCAAAAGCAAAAGTCAAACACACACATCGAAATCAAACCAAAACATAAACCATTTTCTCTAGAAACAACGACCAGTTAACTGGTTCGATTAAAGCAGAGCAACAAGCCAACAAAAATAAGATCATTTTAATTCTTCTTCATTTCCTTACAAACGGACTTTTTTTTCAATAATATATATATGATAATAATCTCAGAAACTAGGTTGTAGATGTTTTGATATTAAAAACACCACCAAAAGGGATAATAATCTCAATCGCACATATCTTGTATATAATTAGAAAGCTTTTTTGTCATCTTTTAAGCTCTCATCTTCGATTTCTCCATTGCTCTCGGAGCTGCAGCTGCAAACATCACACATTTCACAATCAATTATCAAATACCACACTTGTGTTTACTCCAACAAGAATACAAGTGATCGAACATGACTTGAAAACTCTAAATCGGCTCCATGCAACTCTACTTAACATTAACAAGCCACCAATCTCACGATACACACTTCAGATGGATCTCAATTCTCAAGAATGAATCTTAGAAAAAGTAGTTTGGGTTGGATCTTAGGAGCAGAGAGAAGATAAAACTTACCTAATCCAATGGCATCAGAGCCTTTCATTATCTTCAGCTTCTTGCAAACATCAATAAACATCCTGCAACAAAGAAGATCAGAATTCACTCAGCAACGATAATTTCTATCTCCAATTAATCTTTCAAGTGTACTGTCTGTTAGATTCGATACTAAGATAAAAAGTTTTCAAAATAGTAAAACTTACTCCCATGGAACATCTCCAACAAGCATCCAGTCCCCATCTTTATCCTCATAAGTGAGCACATAGTCTTTTCCATTCAGAAGATCCTTTAGCTTTGTCTCACTAAGCATATCCTTCCCAGTTGCTCCATTAGCTCCACATTGACCTAACATCAAATTAAACCGTGCAGGTTAACCACTTGGATTCCACATATTTATCCACCGCAATAACATCAAACACTTTACTAGCAATCACAGAAACATCTCACCAAGCGTGAACGTGGTGAACATCTTCTCCAAGGCTGAAGAAAGCTCTCCGTAGTTAGTGTAGCTCCTCAGGTCAACTTTCCTCAGATAAGGAGCACCATCCATACTGACCTTCACGAAGAGAGCACCAGAGCCTGGCCTACCATCAACTTCATCGCTGTTCTTACACGCGGTGGCCAATGTGTTCTTCCTGTAGGATCTCACAGGAGGCCAACCGACAATCTGTGCCCTGCAAATCCAAAAACTCCCCCGTTAGCTCATGAAAGATATTTCATATAAAAACTCTGGTGAGATGATCCAATTTCCGGTCCTTACTTGGCTGCAGGTGGACTAGAGCTATTGTTAGTAGTGCTCGACTGTCCTTTCGGTACGCTTTGTGTCACTTCCTTCTTCACTACAGATTGTGTGGCTGCCGCTTCAGGAAACATCCAGTTTTTCTCAGTATACACAGAGCTTTTAGCTTCAGAAAACTGATCCATAGTGTCAGAGAACCCTCTTTTGTTCCCTGATGCAATGTTCTTCTGCGAAGACGAGCATATCTCATCTTTCGTAGGAAGCAGAGGAAAGAAGGGCTTCTCATCGAGCTTTGCAGGGCTCAGTAAGTTGAGCTCTGTGTCTCTCGGAGGAGACTGTGACCCGGGAAGGCCAAGTGTGAGCTCTGTGGCCTTGAGACTGATAGTGGCTTTGTCATCTTCTGCAAGGCCAGAGAGAGTTGAGCTTCCAACAGAAGAACAATCAGAGAGGCCCAAGTAGTTATGCTCTTTAAGCCCTCCTGCTGCTGTGCTCCTTGAGATGCAATTGCTAGTCGGTGAAGAACTTGCCACAGAGACATTGCTCTGTAGCTCCTCTTCCGGAGTCATTTGGATCACTTTTTGGTTACTTCAAAAGCAAATCAGCTAAACCCTGATTCACACAGCGTAACACACATCAAATTCACAATACCATAAACCAAATCCTCAATCAAACCTAGATAATCTATAAGGTTTATACCAAATCAGCCAAAAATCGCTTCGGAATCAAGAGCAAGGGAAGCTTTAGACTAGAGTATATATGAAAAAATGGAAAGCAAAAAAGTTGCCGAAAAGGAAAAGAGAAGAAGTCAACTCAAGGTCAGACGAAGAACTAAAAAAAAACGAGTCAGATACGTTCTTAAGAGAGCTGATCTCAGATTTTTCACCTTCCGAGATTTCTATTCTACAACAGTTACTAGAGATTACGCCATGCGAAGAGCTAACAGAAACCACAATTCGCCAGAGAAATGACCTTAGTGTGAGAAAATATCGACGACGGAGCTCAATAGCTTGCAGATCTAGTAACTACTAACACACGCAAACATCAACAAAACGAAGCTCGATTACCTGATTTTGAACAGAGAACAGATAAGAAATGGTTTACCTGGAGAGAAAACAAATCGTGGATGAAGAAATGGAGCTCACGCGGAAGAAGACGATCGATTAGTGTCAGAAATTAGCAGAGAAGAGAATAATTTAGAAGCTGTAGAGGAATAGCAAAGAGAGAGAGGTGTGTCAAGGTCCTTCCATTAAAGGAGAAAAAAAAAAGCTTAATTATCATCACCCAGAAACTCGTAGCCGAGAAGAAAATTAAACAAATATAAAAAACGAATTAAAGAAAGTGGCAGAATAGGAAATAAGTGGAGAAAGTTGCGCATTTTTGTTTACGGTTTCTTACGATCGATTCTGATCCAACGGCTCAGATTTGATCCCGACGAGAAATCATGATCGTCCGATCTGTCGCAACGGATTAGAGCCGTCGATATGTTGTCGGGAGTCGGATCCTTTTTAATTTTCCACTTTCTGGCTCCACCCGAAAGGGGATGGTTGTCTGCAAATATTAAATACCGATTCTGTCCTCTGTCTCTAATGACTAACACTACCCTTCATACGCTAATAAAGTCTCGTTCAATTTAGTGAAATGTTGAAGGGCGTAATGGTAAATAGAAGGAGAGAAAAAGAGGAGTGAAAGGGGACAAGAAAGCGGCATTCCAAGTCGGTTTGCCGGGTGGTGAATGGGACATCTAACCTCCTCCACTTTCTTCTCTCTCTCTCTCTCCACTTTAATCTAATTTCCTTTTTAATTTAATCTTTTTTTATAATCTTTCTTTCTGATTAGTTTAATTAAATTCCGCCACCTTCCTAATTTCTTTTACTTTCATTATTGCACTTCCTTATCCTCCTTTCTTTATTTTTTACTTAGATTGGCCCAACTGGATGGGGCCCAATCGACCAATGTTAGTCCCCCCAAAACTTGAAAGTTTTTTTCACATTTTGTTCCTCTTTTTTTGGTTCGTTGGTCTTCTACATAAATTGAATGTAAGTAGCTAAGGTGATTTCTGTAAATACGGTTTACGTACTAGACTTTGTGACTGTTTTTAGTTCAATTGAAGTTTATTATAATCTGTAATCTGCTGTCACCGTTCAAATTTTAAAATAAGTAAAAAAAAGGTAGTGGATTGGGGAAAAAGGCATAAAATTAACAAAAGAGGCGGTGAAAATGGGATTGAAGAACACGCATGGGAAGCAAAATATCTGACCGTTAGATTTTATGGTAAGAGGCCTGTGTCCGTTCATCATGAGCTTCTCTGACTCTTTTTAATCATCACTCTTCCGTACCACTCACGTTATCTTTTTAATTTATTTTCTTTGAATTTTAAAAGACCGTAAAAGTTACAAATATCTTAAAAGTAACCTCATGCACCGTAAAAAAAAAGGATACGACTTTGTTAACTATGTAAATGTTAAAATTATGATACAATCCTATAATAATACTCAAAAGAACCAAAGATACTTCTTGGATACTCAATTGTTAAGACTTAAGAGACTTAAAGTATTATAATAAAAAATTATCAAGTATTTAAATGGGAAGATAACGGAATTTCGGGGAAGAAAATAAAGTGTAAATTGGACTTTATTCGTAGTATTTAAATATTACGGGTGCTTAAAAAATTGTGTCCCTAATTAAATAGTGATCGGTAAAATATCACCAGTAATAATACTGATAATTTATTACAAAATGCAAAAGTAAACAGTAGATCAGATGAGCAATTGCGAGTACAAATAATGCGGTTTGAGACAAGACAGTGGGACCAACACTGCTTTTGTCCTTCACGCTTATTTTATTAGTCTTTGATTAATGATGATCCACTACAGTTAAACTATACTACTGTTTTGTTTTTAATGAATTTATAATTAGGAATAGATCAACGACAAGACACGTTACACTGCTAATTGGGCCTAGATTGTACACAGTCATATAAAATACATTTGTTATTGGGCCTTCTTTCACATATCACAGATTAAAGCATAGGGCCATAGATGAGTTCCTTCTTAATGAGCCAGCCTCGTTCATTTAAACAGCTCTCGTTTAAGGTTTTCTACTTCCTCTGTTTTTTATTTATTTGTCGTTTAAGGAGATTTCACACAGTTTAATAAAAAAATTAAAAATTCTATTATATCCTTAAAAAGTAAATTAACTATTAGTATTCTTCATTAGATCAAGATTAAATCAGGTATTTAATATAAATTTCTATATTGGAAAGTGAGAACGACAACTATTTTGAATAAAAAAAATAAGAATAGAATGACAAATATTTTGAAACGGAGGGAGTATTTGTTAGCCAGACAATGCTAATATTTTTTTGTATGCCCATTTTTTTCACAAAACGACTAATAAATTATTATCAAGCTGTTACATGTTTTATCGCCTTACAATACGGTCAAACGACGAGCTATTTCATCGGATCTTCTCAATAAAATAATAGATTTTGTTTTGGGAGTTCGTATAAGACAATAATGTTACAACTAACAAGACGTGATGATGAATGTAGGAGAAGACCATTAAAATAGATTTGACTAAAATCAAATACACCTTCGAGTTTTCACATATAATTCGCCCGTAAGATATTTCATCCCTCTTAATAAATTAAACGTACATAAGATAACATTTAAAATTGTTAAAGCTGTATTTGAATTGAACGTAAGAAAAAAAAAGGATTATAAAGAAATATATAGAGTAACACATGTGTTAGCATTAGTAGTTTAGTACCTATCGCCTTGGGTCCTAGTCTACATGAACAAGGTCCCATACAGCTTAGTTTTTGCTTGTGCAACAGGTTTGGATTTTTCTGTAAAATAAGATCTAATAAATGCACATTAGATCGATTTCTCTTATTATAAAATCTCTTTCCGTTTCTAGAATTGATGTCACCGAAAACTCGCTATGTGTCTTTGATTAGATCGGAGAAAAAAAAAGAGGAATTGCGTCACTATCAAAACAAACCCAGCATGCTGCGTACCGACTGAGATCGTGATTAGTAGATGATATGTAGTCCTTTGAATTATATGGAAGAACAAAACTGATTGAATCTTTCATGGTAGATGTATGTGTATTTATATGGTCACAACAAGACGTTTTATCTGTTTCAGAAAAAGAAGACGTTTTATTGGAAATTTATCATTACAGGAAGCAAAGACACAAGTTGTGATATGGAAAGTGTAAGATATGGGTTTAGAATTTAGTGGATACATACTCATTTGTTTGACCCTAAAAGACACGGCGGTGAACATTTCAAGACCCATTTACAGTTCAAACGCAGAAAACATCATATATCAAGCTATAAAAAGTTATATACAGCAGCAGCAGCCTTCTACCATAAAATGGTTTATTTATACAACTATACAGAAAATTTGGCAGCAACGTGATATACTCTTGTTTTCACGCCAATATGAAACATTTGGTTTTCTTTTCTTTTTTTAATGAAGAAACATTTGGTTTTCGAGGAGACCGAAACAAAATATATTAAACCTTGAAGGGGGTGGGGAATAAATTTGTAGACTAACTGATCTTTGGCATTATTTGTAATTAAAACTGCAAAAACAAAATACAGCTATAATAAGAAACTATAAGTCAGAATAATAGTAAGAGTTTTGTCAAATTCGAGTTCCACACGGCAGCTACTCTTTTGTTTTTCACTAGATTTTAATAGCAGCCGTAAAATCTAGCTTAATTTTGACTTTAATAGTTTGGGTTACTGATACTGTCCCATGTGTTATCTACTATTTTATATATCATTTATAGGTATATATTCAATAACAAAACATGTTACATTTAAAATATTCACAAATACTTGCACGTCAAACGCTACATATAATATAGAAAATAGTCAATACTGCTCCACGATCAATCTTATCACCGTTTTCTGTACTTTCAGTTGTTGAGCCATTTAAAATGTATGGACCGAATTTTGTCCCTTAGGAACTCAAAAGGCCAAACGACCAAACCCGAATACGTTCAGGTCCATTCTCGTAATTTCCAATCGAGTGTAGTAGTTTGGAGTCGTAAACTCGTGAGGGTTTTTCTTTATTTGACAATATTTATTTAGTTTTTCTTTTATTTGTCGGCGAGAACATTTTTATTTCTTTCTTGCAAAATTGTCAAATACATTTTCGGAAAATAATTTCAAAAAATCAAACTGACCAATAAAAAGAAGAAAGAATAAGTTGATACGCAGTGCCGGCAAAAGTCCCAAACATTTGACGTAAGTATGTTTCATAGTCATCCGGAAATATCGAGTTGGTTCAATATACAAGTTTTGGCCTTTTTTCTACTATTTAAAAGATTTCACCTACATTATGGGTTTTGTTGGATTGGAGTAAATAGTATTATCCCGATTTCTATGCTACAAAGACCAAGTGGATAAGCTATGAAAGAGCCACGTTTCAACAATATCTACATATAATCACTCACAATTTTATTACTAAATCTAGATGTCATCTCTTGATTATAAGTTACAACAATTATATATATTCTATCATAATATTTTGTTTTAAAAAGAATAAGTAAA